ATATTTGTTAAGGAGTTGTAAATAGCTTTGAATGTTCACTTAAAATCATAGACCATATTTGAAACAAATGTTTGTTTTTAGCAGGTAATAATTAAACTGATGATATACCTTCATTCACCTAGCTCCAATAAACTCAAGAAATAAAAAAGGACTGAGACTATATTCTTAAAAATTATAGCTGAACAACATCTCTATGTAAAAAAAATGTATTCAACAAGTAAAAGTTATCTAAAAAGATTAACTTTAAAACATAATGCAGAATATCAATATGTCATGAGAATTATAGTGCTGTGATTCAGATGAAAAATCTCCAGAAGATGGCTAAGAACAGAGGGCAGACTTCTTAATTATCAAATATCAAAAGAACTGTCTAAGCAAAAGATATAAGATTAATATAAGATTAACCTCCATTTTAATTTCAGAGGGGACCAGCTGGCCTTAGCTAGTCTGGGACCATATCAATTTGTGTCTTTGCTAAAGAATCTATTTGCATGATATAGAAGGTAAGATAAGGTTACAAATGCATTAATGGGTTAAGGAGCTTATGTTCTGAGGGTAGTGTCGATATAGAATTTATATTCTGTATGCATTAAGAAATATGAAATAAAAATCAAAATAGGAAAAAACAGAAGTAAAATTGATCTATAGTTTTTAAAACTTAAAAAATTATTTTAGTTTTAACATAATGTTTGAGGCTTCAGATTTCCCTAGAATAATTTGATTACTTAAATAGTAATCCCTCCATACATTTCCAAAGACTGTACGGATCCATAAAGAGATCTAATAAAACCACCCGTACTTATATCTAGAGCCAAATTTAGAGAAAGCAGACACACAATCTTCAATTTACATATAACCGAGGAAATAATGTGAAGATTATTCAAAACACAGGAGAGTGTAGCTGGATTCTACAGCTGGTAAAATACAGATAATGGTAACCTAAGAAAAAGGGTTTTATCCCACCTGGAGTCTGAGGCCTGGTAGATCAAAGCCTCTTGGAAAATTGGAAAGGAGAAGAGATATGGAGGTTTCGAACCACAGAACCAGAGGTGGCAATCTTGGAAAGGCATTACTTAGGCTGGCAGTGAGACAAAGAAAACAAAAACAAAAACAAAAACCTATGCTAAGGTGTAAAATAGTGGTCCTCAAAGTGTGGTGCAAGTCTATACCCTAATCATCTGGAAACATTGTTTGCAATGTACATCTCTGAGAACCAACTCAAACCCACTAAAACAAACCACTGTGCCTGCGGCCTGGGAGCTGAGTGTGCCTGGCTCTCCCAGATTGTTCTCATGCACAAAAGTCGATAAATCACATTATAGAAAAATCAAGCAGTATGACGTGCTTTAAAAACTAAACACAATTTAGCCCAACTGAATTGTAGGTTATAGGTGATGATGAAATGGGGGAGATGAATCTGGAGAGGAATAACATGATCTACTTGTAAGAAGTCTTAAATGACACACTAGGGGCTTGGACAATAATGTGAAAATTCAATAGGAAACCACTGAAGAGTCTTAAGCAGAGGAATAACCTGATAAGCTTTTTTTTACTTTCAGAAAGATTACCCTGGCATCAGTGTGGATGATTGGCTATGGAGCAGACATAGCAGGAAGGAAATTTGGGAGAATGTTTTAATTTTCCTAGAATAAGATAAGGAGGATTGGAAACAGACTTTAGTAGATATACTTGGTGACGAATTGAACATATGGGTGAAGGGAGAAGAACTAATTTTGGACGATTCTGATTTCCACATTTGCTTGCCTCTATCTCTAAGTTTATAAAAGAATATATAGAAAAAGAATATTTGAAAACTACAACTCTGCACTTTTCTACTTTTCCGTATTTTTATCATAAGACCTATATTTTACTAGAAACATGAAGCTTGGAGAGACAAGTTCTTACTACTATAATGAAGTCCACAAGATCATAAGAGGTCCAAAGAAGAATCAATAAGCATTCTTCTGATGTTGATTTTTTTCGCTGCACTCCCTGGGGACACATGCCAGAGATCTATCTCTGGATGCACCACTGCTGGAATTTCTACAGCACTGTCACAATACAGGAACTAATATTATTACCTCACTGGGTAATATTGTCAGCTAAATGTCCACAAGACTGTTGGAGAGATAGCATGTATATTTGGAGGTATTGTGATCCAGGCGATCTTGAAGGTTCCATTGTAGTTTCTATGGTTGAACATGTGACAATGTGTATACATGAAGGAGGCATGAGTGGTAGTCCCGAGTAACTTTTTCTTCAATAAAAGATTGTGTTATTTAAAGCCAGTCCATTCCTTTTTTGTCTTTTTGTGTCACAGAATGAGACATTCCTTTTAATCAGGCTGTCTGGTGAAACCACAGTAGTGACTTGTCTTCAAGTTGATTGTGGCAAAAAGGAATTTCCCTTCGACAGCAGAATATCCTACGACAGCTTTGTTTATTTCATTTAAAAAAATGGCAGAGGTTTGTGGTTTTAGAACAGTTGTATCAAAAGGATCTACTTTCTACCCATGCTGAACAGAGAGCTGCAGCTGTAGACCGAATGGGGTCCACGGTCCCCTAAGCTTAGCCTTCAGCTACAGGCGGGTTATAGGCAGCAAACACCAAATCGAGCTTCCCATATTGCTAGGAATCCCCAAATTCCCAAAGGCTCTATGTCATTCATCTGACGACCCACAGCACACACAAGATCCTTCTGCTGTAACCATTCTCCAAAAACACCAAAAACAGTCATAAATACAGGTCTTATTCAGCCAAAAACCTTTTAATGACATGCTGCTTTTTGTCTCTAAAAGCACTGTTTCCTCCTTGATTTTTAAAAAATTTTCATTTGATTGTTGGAGAAACTGAACTGTTTGTCCTGTAGAGTAGCCAACATTATGGATGTGGCTGATTGACTTCCCTGGTTTCTTCTTTTTCCTTTATCCCCAATACTGCCTTATGATCTGATATTATGATAGGATCTAGAGGCTTAACTAATTTCAGTTTCAATTTTTCTTTATTCCAGATTACTTCATGGGGAGGGTATGTGTACTCCTTATTACATCATATTAGACAGCAAATAATGTCTGTTGGCACACTTTTAGTGATATTAAAATTATCCATGGGTTTAGAGACATTCTGATTCCTCCATGATACTGTTTCCCATCAATTTTTCATGCCAACTTAGATGCATCCACAGATGATTGTTACTTAGATGCATGTTAGGGGTATCTTCTATATTTTAATACATGTATGAGGTGGGATTCTTCTATGAGTAACTTTCTTGCATACACTAGTTTCCTTGTGGCAAAGTTTTTAAAGCCTAAAAAATAAATTTTATTCTTTCTGCTTAGTTTCAAAGTAATGGGAGTGCCCTAGCAACCTCCAAAAGTGACCAGGGAGGGGTGTGTGTATGTGTATAATTATAAACTCTTATATTCATATTAATGTGCTTATATATATTATGGTCCTTATTTGGTTTGATGCTCAGATTATTTCATTTTAGATCAGTGGAAGCCCCTTAATGCTTCTTCCCTGTTTTTGTAACATGATTTATTAGTCTTTGATAACTTCCTTGCTCTCTGGAATAACATTGCCCAGGTTCATCTTACTTATTCCCTATTCCAGAAATAGACTCAATAATTTCTCCTAAGAGCCCCAGCCCTAGTTTCTCTTAGAAATAATATTTAGAAGCCACAATTTGGATAGTAGGTATACTTATTGTTACTGGATTGTCATTGCTTCAACAACTTTTCAATGGAAGAGTGAAAAATATTTTTTTGGGGGCGGGGAAGAGAAAATAAATTTTGAGTTCATACTAATATTTGTAATTCCAATTAAAAGTTAGAGCTTTTTCTTAATTTCTTAATTTTATACATATATTTCTTTTAACATTGAAAATCTGACTTCTAAAGAAATGTAATTTCTTACAGAATATTTGGTATAATATCCTATATATGAGTTTCAATATAACAATATCAATATTACTAATAAGACTATTAAATATTTTCACATTTCTTCAGAATTTACTTGACCCTTAGAGTATATCCCCCAAAATATAGTCAAAATACTTATTTTGAAAGTCATTGAAAATAATTGTATATCCTTTGTGTAGTTATGCCACTATTTGATATTCATTTGGGTACAGTTATTTTGGTTTGTTTCCAATTTTAGAGGGAATGCTTTCTATTTTTAAATTTAATTTTAGTTTTTAATTATGTAAAATATTCGCACAGTCTAAGGTCAAAACTATACAGCAAGATACAGTCATAAATTTTATCTCCATACCTGTCCAATCCTCTGTTTCCTCCCGCCCCCATGGTCAACCATTTTTAATATCTTTATATCTTCTGTGATTTGCATGTATGTGTGTGTTTATACATATTTTTCTAAACGCTATTTATCTTAGTGTATTCTGATGGCCAAATGATATTTATGTATAGATATTTGCTCATTTCTCATCCATAATTTCTTCAACCAATTCCCTATTGATGAGCAACTGGTTTGTTTCAAAAGTTTTTCCAAATAATACACTAATGAAATGTCCTCAGGCATATATATCATTTTGTTTTGTCACAATACCTTTGGGATAGATTTTTAAAAGAAGGCTCGCTCAAGCAAAGGGTAAAGTAAGTGCATTTATAATTTTGCTGGATCAGGGGCATACTTTTAAACACATTAATCTTGCCAAAAAAATGTAGGAATTTTAAATAATCTTTTATTGCAGGAAAAGAGAAAACTTTAACTGGAATGATCATATTTATCAAGAATAATTAGTGGAATTTAAATTATTAAATTCACACAGTTTCTGGTATAAGGTAAATAAACACCTTGAACAGTCCAAAAATTGATTCAACTTTAGTGGTTTCCAATCCATTAAGTCTGAGAAAATAATGTAACAACAGGAAAACTATTAAAAGCTATCTATCTATATGTATAGAAAAACGTACACATGCCAGTGGATAGGTATGGATAAATGAATAGAAAAAGAGAGATAAAAAATTTTCCCCCAAGGAGAATATTTCTAATTTTAATAAATTTACGAGTTTTTTCATTCAGTCAAAAATTTATTTTATCTTTTAAATGACACAACAGAAATGGAAGTAAGTTAGCAGAGTCTATACAATAGCACTTGTAAAATTTTTTAAACTGTTGGTAAATCTGCAAGTTTGTCACTTTGGTCCTAAAATATAATCCAACTTTTAAATGCAAAATGAAATGTATTAGCGGGTCCTTTTTATGATCATATGTATTAAAGGAACATGATTATATTGTCTTAGGTTTTTCAGTTACTATCATCGTCTAAAATCAGAAGAGCAACCCCAAGAACTGGGTGAGTCATATTTGCTTTTTTATCTTAGGCACAGCAAAAAGTCAACTCATAAAAATTAGTTGAATAGTAAATTCAAATAATAAATTCACATTTGAGTAGCAGCTAATTATGTATGTAAAAAGTAACATGGATCAGTAAAAACTGGTGAATAAGAATAAGTCACTAGTGATTCATTTACTCATGTTACCATATCATTCTTCAGCTATAACCGGAAAAACAATAGCCTTCACAAAGTGACATACCAAAAAAAAAAGTTAAAATAGCTTCTTCTGCATTTTTAGGTTTCTCTTGACAAAGAGAATCTTTGGCATCTTCTTATTCTGTTTCTTCTTCAAGGCTAAAATCGACAAAATAAAAATAAACGTCACATCAATCTGTAGGCTCACTGTAAATCACCATTTACAATAGTCTTACAAACATGCCCCACTTTTTAATGATTACAAAGTAGTTTTGCTATCTACTCAGTTAATAATATTCTATCTTTAAAACACAAAGATAAGCTGTCTACTGTAGCTAGCCAGAATAAGCATTTTCACAAAACCGATCAGTACTAAAGTGCTGTTTATGTAGTAGTCTAGAAATGGCAATTTGCTATTAGTTAAATGGATACATAAAATATAATTTTGCTTATGAATTATTTATAAAGTTAGTTTAAAAACTGAATATGCAAGTTCACTACCTTTTATGCAAACGCGTTTGCAATCCTTCATGCTAACAAAGTTATTGTCATTTCCCCCACAGCCAGTATAGGTGAAGGCCTCACAGGTTTTATGTCTCGGATTAAAATGATAGCGAGTCACATTAGCAGAACATAGTCCCTCATCTTTTGGACTGTAGCAGTATGATGGACCTTTACAAAAAAATAAAATAAAATTAGAAATGCAATAATATCAAAATTAATAAAACTAATGATTTCTGAAAGAATTGAAGAAAATCTAATCCCATAGAAGCTTCATGCTGAATCCAAAATATCAAACTAAACCATTTAAAAAGTTTGCCTCAAATTTCAAGAAAGCTTAAATGCTATATTTTGTTAATTCTAAATATTTATAAACTGGACACAATTTCTTCTGAAGCTATGTTCTTATATCATTTGAATGTGTAAAGAAATGAAACCCAAAAAACAGATATGGTCAGGTAAAAAAAAACCAGATATCACATTTCAAGTGATAATATATGACATGTTTTGTAAACTTTCTTGTGTTGGTAGTTTTATTTTAAGTATGTTTATCTGCTCTTTCATTATTTTATTTTATTACAAATACATGTAATCAAGAATACATGTATTTAATTCCCAGGTAGCCACCGTAATATTTACATTTACACAAACAACTTAAGAAAACACCAGCAACAACCATCTCCTCATTAATTCAAGATTTTGCATACTCAACACAGTATAGCTGTAGAGCTTTATCAAAGTCTCTGCCAAGGCAAAATTTTCCTTGTTTATTGAATGTTATTTATGTGTATGTGTCTCTGCTGTGCCTAGGGAAAATGCCTGTATAGTCTCTCTACAACTATTAAATACTACCCAAGTAACCCATCAATTTGGGGGCTGTGATAGGGGCCAGAGGTAGATCAGCAATGCAGAGGAGAGAAAAAAGGAATACGGATCTCTTTGTGCTGCAGTTTGCAATTATTAAAGGATACGCAAATCTAACCAAAAACTTTAGAAAGAAATTTTCAAGTTTCTCCATCTTAAGTCTATGTATAGTCCACTATTTCGTATATACAACTGATTCCATACAAACCTGAGGTCATGGCATCCATTAATGAATACATACTATAATATTTTATGTGTAAATTAAATAGATGAGAAATAGTTCTGGAGAAACAGTGCAGAAGAGGAAACAAAAACTTGAATCATGGCTTTCTTGCTTTGTAGCCCTGAGAACTTAGCAAGTTATTAACTTCTATCTTGTACTCTCGTATGTAAAAATGAGAATAATAATACTCCCTCACAAAGTAAAAGTCTGAAGATTGATATCACATTATATATGAAATCGCCAAAATGCAAACCATGCTAATTCCACATCGAATTGATGTTTTCACCCTAAAGTATTAAAGAAATGAAACAGAAACACCATAAAAATAGTATTTACCTTTCTTTGGTGTACAGAAGCCCATGCAAGTGGCTTCATCCGGGAACTGGTTCCCACCGTGGTGACACCCACCAGACATAAATTTTTCACATGTCATGGTACTTAAATTGAAGAAATACTCTTCTCTGGGCTCACCACACTGCCCCTCACTGACTTCCAACCGGCAAATTTTGGGAACTTCTAGGAAAAGGAAGACAAAAAGCAGTGTAAGTCAAAAATCAGCCTTCTTAGCATTACTTTCAAAACTCTACTGTATTTTCAGAAACAACTGGGTGAGGGGAGGCATCATATTGAGTGCTGGGATAGTAAATCCTCAAAGACTGCTCATTAATCTAGTTATTTACCTTTTTTAAAAAAGTGTCTCCAGATCTGACTGAGCTGTAATAAATCTTTCAAATTCAGTAGAAAAACTCTGTTCTCTCAGGCTGTTATGATTGTCCCTACATATGAAGTGAAGTAACTTATTCACAGAAATACACATTTTCCCCTGGCTCAGTTCCTTGAATGGTAAAGCCCCATGTTCTGTGACAGGCCTTACAGATGTAATAAACATAATTAAAATAAAATAGAAAACAGTATCCCAAATTTCCACTATATCCGTATTCTAACAAAGACAAGTCTGGGTTTCAGGAAACCAATGGAAGGTTACAATCAGCTATATCACAGTTAAATAATAAAATCCACTAAAAGTATTTCAGATCGATGGCTAATTGACACGGTGTTCTCAAAGAGGCATAAAATCATATGTTTAGAGATAATGATAGAGAAAAGCACTTATATTGCATCTAATACCCTTGCACTATTTTGCCCTAAAGTGAAATCTTTCCGAATCTGCACAGGCTCAGAATTATGATAAACGCTTGATAAGAGAGGAGAGAAAATGTGAACTTCTGATGACGTTCAGGAAACTGAAAACCAGTGACCCTTGCTTAACAGTTGAGAAAATTCTGGCTCAAATTCACTCTAGAAAATGGGACCTGTAAAGTTAGCTAAGTTACTGCCGGCCCTTCTGTGCAAGGAGTGGTTAGGGATTTTCTGAGTGTGCTGCGACAACTTACTCTCTATCCTCCAGCAAGCTTCCTCACAGGCCGCCAGAGTTTCGAAGTTGTTGGCGTTGCCCTCGCAGCCCCCGTACATGAACTGGCGGCAGCTCTGCGTGTACCTGTCGTAGTAAAAACTGGGGATCCGGGCCCGGCAGGGCCCTACATCTGGGGGCAGGAGGCAGCTCTCCGCGTTGTTGCCTACGGGAGGGTCAGGAGAGTCAAAGAGGGGTCAGCCACAACCCTGGGGAGGGAGGGTTTGGTTTTCCCAGGGAGTTCTGTCCTCGCTGCTTCAGAGCAAAGGGGCCTCCACAGAGGGAGAAAGTGCAAACTGGGGCGCAACTGCCCCTCCCCGCCACAGGGGCCTGCGGAACGCGGGCAGAGAGAGAGCGGGTGCAGGGTGCCCCAGCTGCTTCCCCGGGAGGACGCCTGGACTGAAGGGGTGGGGGGTGGTTCCTGTGTGGGGCGATACCTGGCAAATCCTGAACAGCATTGCCCAGCGCGGTCCCCGTTATGAGCAACGGCAGAAGCAACAGCCCGAGGGTACAAGTAGGGTCCATGGTGTCCAGGTTCCAGCGGCCCGCAAGGCGAGGGGTCCCCAGAATGCGCCGGCAGAAGGGTGCGCAGAGTCCAGCCTCAAGGTGACCTGGCCTGGGTGCCGGTGGTGGGTGTCCGCTTTTTGTAGAGCGAGCACACTGCCGACCCGGCCGGGGCGGGGCGTGCCTGTGCGCTGTGCGGAGCCTGGAGGGGAGGCTGATTCACGGCCGGCGGCTGTGACCCCGCGCTGTCCTGGCACTGGAAAGTGTGTGCCGGGGAGAGGAATTCCCCTCCACGTTGAACCTGCGTCCCCAACTTTCTCCTTCAGCCGGGCGGGAATGACCAGATGGGCATTTTGTGTCAGTGATGGGAAATCGGCAAACTAGAAGGAAATGATTGCGCAAGATTCCAACTTGTAGCATCACCCTGAAGACTGATTCCACATTTTGAAGCACAAAGTCCACGTTTTTGAAGGGCGGAAAGAAAGTGTGAAATTCACAGGGCCGAGGTTCATTGCGATAGACTCTTTAATTAAGTTAGAAATTTCAGTATATGTGTATTTATTTACATTTATGCATATTTCAGTCGAGGTCTACTTTACATTTAATAAAGGGCTCGTAATACATCGTAAGTGCACAGTTTCATGAATTTTTCACAGTTATGCACGCCCTCGTAATCACCACTCCAGTCAAGAATTAGAACGTTTCCATCACGCCCAGTCCATTTTCTCATACCCTTCCCCAGGCCAGGGGCAAGCACGCTTCTGAGCACCATAGATAGGTATTGCCTGTGCTTGACTTTCATGCATATAGAATGATAGAGTAAGTACTGTTTTGTACTTCTTTTGCTCCACTACTGTTTTTGAGACACACCCATGTTGCTGTATAGTTCGTTCCTTTTAAATGCTGAGGAGTCTTCCAGTGTACGATTATACCACAAACATCCTGTGACTGGACTTTTGTGTTGTTCTAGTTTGGGGTTATTACGAATAAAGCTGCTTTGTGTGTACATACAACTTTTATTACTCTTGATTAAAATACTTAGAAACATTAGAAACTGCCAAACAGTTTTCCAAAATGATTAGACCATTTTACACCCCCATCAGCCATGTGTGAGAGTTGTAGTTATGTTTTATGGGTAGGAACATAAATGTCCAAAGAGGGGTGGCCTTGGCGGAGTGCGGGGTCCTAAAGCTTTGAGCAGATCAGCCCCTAATGTCGGTGCATCTGTTATATCCTAATGTCGGTGCATCTATTAAAGTTCATTGCTCCTTCCACATATTAGCCTGAGTCTAACATTTTACTTATACAAAACAAGTGATCTATACTGGGATTTTACATGAAATATTAAAAATATTTTTGGAGAACATTTCAATGAGTTCTCTTGATGAATATGTCTTCCTTTTCTCCCCCTTTTCCTCTTGTTCTATTCAATATTCTTAAGAGAATAATTATTCCTGGCTTCTCCTGAGGATACTGGAGGGAGTTTACAGGAGTTCTCCAAGTTTCTGAGATTCCCGATGTTCACAGTGGGTTAAGAGTCTGGCATATTTTGCACACTATACTCCCTTGTGTCAGTTTTCAATTATGCTGATGTTGAGGCATAGAATTATATTGCTAGGAAAATTAGGCTTGTCTGGAAATACTCAGTGTCACTTATGCTGTCATTACCAGATATCTATGATTAAGAATGACAGAGATACAAGGGTAAATATTTAACCACCAGTTCTGAGGGAGGAAAAAAAGGGCAGAGGGCCTGGTTTGTACAGTTTACTGATTTCCATGGTGTAGGTGCTCCCACTAGGGCTAATTTCAGGCTACCAGAGGTGGAAATAGATGAGTACAATCAGTTTGCCAGAGCCAGTGTGAGCAGCTCCAGCATACCAACCACTGAGACAGCCAGCTGGTTTTAGAAAGACACATTTATAGGCGAATCAGATTAGACCCTCCCATTTCCTCCTACTTATTATTAGGGGAGGCAAATTTTTTACCGAACACTTAGCCAGGATCATGTTCAGGAGAGCAATTAATTCAATTTCAAACTTACCTATTTCTATTCTTCTGAATTTGATTAAATATATCTTCCAAATGGACTGAAATAAATTGAAGGTCAGATACTGAGTCAAACTTATTCATCATTGATTATCATCACTTCTGTTCTTTGTTCTCAGCTGCTGGCACTTTTTGATCGTTTTTTGCTTCGTATAATAAGAGGAATCTTTTGAGTTAGGGCAGATTATTTTGGGAAATTGCATGATGTAATGGGAAAATGGGAGTCAGAGGAGACCTGGATTTTATTCTTTGCGCCTTTGGACAAGTGATACAAACTCTCTGAGACTTGGTTTCTTTATCTGTAAAACAGATATAATAACTGTACCTTAGACGTGTATTATGAGAATTAAAGGCAAAGTGCCTAGGTGCTCAAAGAGATGTGCTTCAGCTCTTCACACGCGGGCACAGAATCCACTCAGATTACCCCATGTCCTAGGTCCCCTTGTGCTTTGGCACAAAATTTTAAGTTGAGGTGTCAATCACAATCAAGAAACAGAACCACGTGATCTGTCCCTATGGGACTGAAACCTGTGACTTGGCACCCATCAGCTCTTCTCTTTGGCTGAACTCGGAGGCCACCTCTCTGCCAAGGAAGGAGTCACACAATCAGACATCACTTTGTAATGGTCTCTTCAGGGGGAAGGAGCTTCGGGGTTCTCTCAGCCAGAGCAGAGTACACTGTCTACTCAAGCCTGCTGTGTAACATACAGCAGGAGAGGTGGATGGGGAAGGGGCCCAGAGCGAAGGAACCCGCACCTCTGTGGTACAGAGTCTGTAGGTACCAGTTGAAATTCACATCCAGAGATACTCTAGAAATGTTAGTTTCCTTCCCTTGTTCTATGCCAAATAGAGTGCATCTTTAACATCTCTGTGAGTACAGAGCAGGGACATGGAAGAAAGAAAATTGAACAAGTGGAGTAGTTAGGAATTTGAGATTGTCAAGCAAGAATATCAGGAAGGAAACTAAATTGTGAAACATGTATTTTTATATCCATGAAAAAAATATCTTCCAATATAAAAGGGATCTAAATGTCCTCAGACTACTTTAAATTACGGAATTAATCATTAGGACCATGTGGAAGGAGCCATGTGACTACCGCCATCAGTCTCCACAGGAAAGTCATTGTACTTCTATCCCCTTAAACCAGTCTCTAAGCCAAAGGTTACTACATAACTGAGGAAAGCAATTCCTTTATCCAAAGTCAACAGGAAATGCAAGACTGGAGGGAATTGGGAAGAACAGTCACCCAGATTGATTTGTCACTGCAATACCAAGCAACAGCTTGAGTAGCTGTGGCTAAAGACAGAGGCTCAAAATAGATTGGAGTTCTTTAAAATAGGCATGGAGTACTTACAATTAGAATGCTGAAAGGAACTATAAATGCCATCTGTTCCAGTATTTTCATTTTACAGAATTACAAAGTTGAGACCTAGCAAGGTAAAATGGCCAGTCATGTTTATTTACCGTAGTTGTTGGCAGAGCTGAAACTAGAACCCAAGTTCTTGATACTCAACACTATATTCTTTCTAATATACCCAGACTTTAGGGGAGAACAATAAATTCAGAATTAAAACACACAAAGGCTACAGTGAATTCAGGAGCACCCGGGCATGTGTCAGATTCCTAACTCTGCTCCTTCTCACATACCCCTGGACCCCATAACAAATGGATATAAAGTTGATCTGGAACACATTTACTTCTAGAATCCCCAAGCCTATAGCCTATAGCAATCCTCTGAGAGCCTCATGGACGTGGACGGTAACCACGAATTTAAGGAAAGGATTGAGGCAGAAGCTCTTCCTCTCTGTCAGACACCTTAGAGTGAGGTGTCATGTCTAGCTCATGAATGAATAAGGAGAATTAATTAAGTCCAGTGATTCAGGGATACTTATTATATAAAACACAGTCACTTAAGGAGTAACATTGATAATGCCTTGAAGAAAGTTCTTGCTGCCTGTTAGTTTAAGCCCTGTCAAGATAAATTCTGAAATGAGTCCAGCTGGCACCAATGAAGAGTGTACACATCTGCTAAGAAAGCTAGTTAATCTCTTCTGAAAGATTAGGGGTCATGAGGGTTTTGTTAAAGTTTAGGCAACTACTTCACCAACCAGGCATTTTTCTAGCAAGTTAGGTCTTGTAGGATGTGTTTACTCTAATGCGCCCTCTGTCGGACTCAGAAAGCATTTGTGAGTGTTGTTATGTAATAAGGTGACGCCACATAAAAGGATGAGACATTCTCTATGCCTAATTTTATTATTCTCGTTCTCGCTCGTACATATTCTTCCTAGATGTATGTTCTCTCAAATGTCCTACCCGCTTAGGATGTTGGGCATCTTTTCTCTCACTCAGGTTGTTGCATATTTAACTATGTAGGGCATCCAGAAGATTGGAACAAATTTTAGACTATTTCACCCAAGACCTTTTCCGCGCAGTGCAGCCTCACCACTTATGTAGAATTCTAGCCTGGGTCACCAAGCCACTAGAGGGTGGCATGTCAGAAATGGGGGAAGGAAGAGAAAACATCCTCCAATTCTTGTATACCAGGTGGAAACCTCAATAGCAGTAACTAGAATGATGGATATGTTTATTGAGAGTTTTCATTGTATTTTACACTCATTAGCTCATTAAATACCCATAATGACCACTTGAGGGTGGTACTTTATTCTCCCCACTCTGCAAATGAGGAAACTGAAGCTTTAGATATGTGACTTGGCCAAAGCTATAAAGCTAGCACAGGTGGTCTGAATCCTCATCCCCTGATCCCACTCACTGTGTATACATCCTTTTCTTCCACGTTAGTGGGGATCGAAGTCAGGCTTGTTATACATAACATGTGCTTATGATCCTGCTTCAGTTCCTAGACAGCTCTCTCTCAGATTTCCCTTTTATTCAAACACAAAGTTTATCGTTAAGAACAGATAGGTACAATTTAAAAACATTGCTATAATGCTGTAAAGGGAACATCTGCCAAAGTTGATAATCAGATTAGAGGATTGAGTTAATCACTGAAGTCCGTATTTTCAGGGTTATGTTTAGCAGAATGTAATGGACCTTGACCTTTCCAAATATAAAAACACCCTTTCTTGCAAAAATATTGTCATTTTTATACTATAGCCCAATCTCACATTAGTTATGTTACTTACTAACTTGCCATAAGCCCGCCAAAT